GTCAAATTTTGAATTAAAAATCAAATATTTTCCAACAAAATGTTAATATAACCATTTTAACATATGGTTGATCCTTAAAAGAACCTTTTTTAAAAAATTGTACAATCTGTTGACAAACAATGCTGTTGGTGATTGTAAGAAAATATGTCATTTGATTGGCTTTGCTGAGAAAGAATAATTCACAGAAAAAATAATTCACAGATTTTGTATTATTTAAAATGCAAAACAAAACACGTAAAAGGCTATAACAAAATAATAGGCTATAACAAAATAATATGATACATAAAAAGTATGCTCTTAATAAAATATTGTTTATTTCTTAGTTATTAATAAATTTGAATTCATATATTGTATATTACAATAAATTTGTTTTAAAATAAATCCTACAATTTTTAGTTAAATTATTTTATACCAATAATGAATGTTTTAAATTTCACAATAATAAATTATAAGTATAACATTGAAAATCCTCTTATATTTAAGAAACAATTTTACTAAGAAATTGGAAAAAATAATTTTCATAAAAGTAATATTCCTGATACGCAATGTGTAGATGAATAAAATTGATGATCCCTTAATGCAATGTAAATTAATTTTATGACCATGAAATTCTGAGACATTGTAGTATAGACAAGTCTGACATTATTTATTATGTAATTTTTAGACTAAATTTTAAAAAAATAGAATTGATTTGATAGTTTTGATGTTATAAATATTTCGTGAGTAAAAGGTAAGTCAAAAATTGTATATTCCATACATTAAACCCTAATTTCTTCTAAAGAATTATTTCAAAGGGCTATTTTTTGAATTAAGCTTAAAAAATTGAATTTGAAGAAATGCCTCACTTGTTTAGATAGCAATGTCAGTTGCATAAAATGGTATAAGTCATAAAATTGTACTCTCTCCACATGAAACTTTTATAAATTTTCGAATTGCTAAACTATTAAAACAGACAGATTGGTTTCATTCTCATTCAATTTAGCGTATACATAGATAATGATACCGCACTTGCCTAGCTAGCATGTTAGATAGTAAATATGTATAAATAAACTATGCTTTTACAGGGTGCGTAGCCAAATCTTTCAATAAAAATAAAAGCACCTTTTAAGATCTTTTTAGGTGCTCAAAAAATATTTTTAAGCACTATGTAAATTGACAAAATGCAAAATAATTTTCAAAGACTTTGCATGACCATGATAAAATAACTAGAATTTGACAAATAACTCTTTTCTTGATTATATTAGCCTTTAAAAATGATTAATGAAAAGTGATTTTTTTCGGTTCGATTTCAGAGGGTGGAAAATGAAGCCTGAAATTGAGAATATCTTGTAAAATGCAGAAGAGTTGCACATGAGAGTGCAAGAATCTCACCGAACCCAGCTCACTAGACGCACATGCGGACTCCCAAGTATTTCCCCAAAACTGTAAAATGATTGGGGCTTTCATACGCTATGTCACTGACGGTACGCTGAAATTGATCGTGGTTGAATGAATTCTGAAAACGTTGAATAGAACAATATTAAAATCACGTTTTTACATGCATGGTGAAAATAGACATTCCCTTTCATGAATCTCATTTTCGAAAAGGGAAAATTAAGCACTATGTAAAAACACCCATTAAGAAAAGCATCTTTAAGGGCTTTTAAAAATCGAAACTAAGCACTTTTTAAAAACACTACGCACCATGCTTTATACATTACTCACTCCATCACTGACTGCGGTCAGTGTGCGGGTGGGTGACCCACTTGAATCAGTCTGCGTAGGGACCGAGGGTGTGCGGTATTGGTCCTCGTTAAACTGTGCTACCGTAAAGTGCTCGACTTCGCGTGCAGGTCGTTGGGCTACCGAAGCGGAGGTGCCATCCCCTCCGCAGAGAATCAAAATTGTGATGGCATGTCTTCGGATCATCCTCAGGGATGTTTCCCAGACCGTCGCCAATAGCCCATTGTGCAGCTCTAGTGCGACGTAAATGAACTACTACTACTACTACTACATTACTCACTCTATTGAACGTAAAAAAATCGTAAAAATTCTACATAGTATTTAAGTCCAACCCCCTTTTACCCCCTTATCCTTTTAGGGACGCAACAAAAAATTCATTGATGTCTTAATATCATCTTATATTATTAGGTAGAAATCATAATCCTTTTTATACTATGCTATTTCACTAATGGGGAAATTAGAATTTTTATTTGCTGCTGAAAAAAAAGACTTGACACAAATACAAATGTAAAAAATTAAATCAAAATCAATCAATATTCTACAGCGTCTGTGATTTCTTTTTCCTCCCTTTACGAACATCGTTCAGAAACTATGATATAATACACTGGTGTGCAAAACTTAAGCAACAAGTGGTTTTTTGGCCTCAGCTCCCCAACAAAGTTTAAGATAGCCATGAAATTGCAGTATAATATGCACGCGTAATTCAGTAGAAAGATTATTTGTTTGCAAATTTTAGAAGTAAATCATCGTAGGTGATGTAAGTGTACGTAAACCTTGTGGGTCGGCGAGCGGAGGTCAAAGCTGTGATAAAAGGATGAAGAGCACCGTAGTTGAAGACATTCGCTGCAAGTGCAAGTGATTTGTTTTGTGAAACATGTCTTCAAGAAATCATTTAGACGACTTTACTCGAGAAAGAATGATTGGGAAGCTTGAGAAGGGGCGTAGTGTGACCAGTGTCGCTGAAGAGTTCGGGATCAACAAAAGTGTTGTTTCTCGTGCTTGGAATGCCTTTAAAACTACTGGTACAGCTGTTCGTAAGGTTGGTGGTGGCCGTCCAAGGAAAACAACATCAAGAGATGACCGTTACATTGTCCTCCAGGCAAAAAGAAACCGTTTTCAGCCAGCGAGCGCCATATCTCAACAACTGTGCACAGCCACAGGACGACAAGTATCAAGATTTACAGTGGCCGGACGCCTCTACAAAGGTGGCTTATTTGCTAGACGTCCTGAACGCTGCATACCTTTCAAAGTTCGCCATCAGCGGCACCGTTAAGAGTGGTGCAGAGAACACGAAACCTGGACATCTTATCAATGGAGTCGCGTCCTCTTCACAGATGAGAGTCGTTTTAGTGCTACAAGCGATTCTCAACGTCAGTTGATCTGGAGAGAGGTTGGAGCTCGATTTCATCCCAATAACATCGCGGAAAGAGATCGTTACGGTGGTCCTGGAGTTGTCGTCTGGGGTGGCATTATGTTGAACGGGCGGACTGAGCTTCAGATCTTCGACCGAGGTTCTGTAACTGGAGACCGCTACTGCAATGAGGTAATCCTACCCCATGT